TTGTTTACTCTGGAGGAACATTAAATTCTTGGATGAAGATGGAAATGACACACACACACACACACACAGTGATGTATCTCCTCAAGTCATTGAAACATAGATCACAAGGACATCTGGTCTACTACAGATGAACAGTTTATCACATGATTTTTCACTGCATGTGTACAGTCACTTAGTTCGGTAATACATTAGTTAACTTCATGAAAGTACTGGTAAAATAAGGTAACTAGGGTTCATGGCTATTACCCAATTCAGGGTTATTACCCAGTTATTGTAATTACTATAATGCAGACCTGCCAACCTGTACGCATTTTGTGTAGCGGATACGCATTTTGACCTCAAAGTACGCTGGTACGATTTGTCACTCTAAACTACGCAAAATGTATAATGTAATATACATAGAATGTACATGTGGAACAGGACTATAAAATAGAATGCTACCAAGATTAATGAATATTGTAACAAATTGTTCCATGTTAGTTAATGTTAACTAACATTAATATGATTAGTGTTAAGTGTTACGTTAGCTCTGATTCATTCAAATCAGTATTGATTTTTCTGAGAGATTCATGATAAAACAATTCATATTGAGATTATGTTTTACAAATATAATGATTGTCATTTAAATTGTGCTATGATAAACATTTAACATCTCATATTGCTGTTGATTGAACATCAATGCTGAAAGAACAAAGGCATAAAATCACACGACTCTCATGTTAAACAGGGAAAATATTGTAATGAAATAATTGCAGTTTGATTCATTATGTAGCTTTTTTTTCTGGGCATTGAGAATACCATAGATATATTATGTGAAAATGCCACTCATTTCTAAAAAAAATTATGTTTTAATCTCTGCCCAGGTTCTTCTGATATTATTTGTGACCTGCTCGGAGCAAAAGGGAAGGATATTTTGTACATTGGAGATCATATTTTTGGAGATATTCTTAAGTCCAAGAAGCGACAGGGTTGGCGGACGTTCCTGGTGATTCCTGAATTGGCTCAGGAGCTGCATGTGTGGACAGACAAAAGCTGTGAGTGTCGCCATATATCAGTAAAATAAGCCATTGGCCTGTTTCACACTGCACATAAGCAGCACACATTTATTTTGAGTGCCCATAATAACAGGTTACAGCATTGTTGCTGTAAGCACACTGGTGATGCATAACTGCAAGTAAAGTGGGTGCTGAACCCTGCAGAAAATAGAGTGAATGTCCTATGTAAACCTGTTCATCTATGCAATCTTTTGTAGCAGTTTATAGGGGTTTATAGCAGTTTAAAGCATTCCATGTAGATTTATTACCATTTGGATGTAAATGTAATCCCTTTTCGCATATTAATTATATTTGATGATGATCAGTTTTGTAATAATTATCAATGGCCTATATCTGATAACCATTTTATAAAGAATGGCCATTACTACTAGAAATACTTAAACTGTAGTAACCTATAACTTACTTAATATTCTGGATAGAGCTGCAGTTCTGTCACTGAAAGCACAATATGAGCCTGCTGTCACAGTTACGCTTATGTGTGTAGTGTGAAACAGGCCTTTTTGGGAGAATCTCAGTAAAGGAAGGCTCACACAGAGAAAGAGTGACATGAGATGTTCACACTTGAAAGGCTAAGGAAAAGAGATGTGAAACCCAATCATGACAGGGTTCTGCCCTCTCATTCACAGCTCTGTTCGAGGAACTGCAGGGCTTGGACATTTTCTTGGCAGAACTATACAAGTGAGTAAAGCTGCCTCTATTCCTTCTTCAGCACGTGTGTGTGTGTGTACAGTATGTATACAGTATGTGTGAGTACATTCAGAATTTAGAAATTGACTCCCTTTTATTTCATTGGCCAGGCCCTGCTAGTTTTTGACAGGAAGTGGACTTGACTGAATTGCAATTCTAATAAAATCAAGTAACATTAGCCCAACACAAGATCAACTATACAGCCATCAACACTGATTTTTATTTTACCATTCACAAAATGTCCATCATGTTGTTTTTAGATGACGTTATAAAAATAAATGTTGACTTTAGAGTTTGAATAAATTGACTATAATAAAGGCTCAGCAGTAAAAGCTGGTTAAGTAGTTATCTCATAATATTTCAGTTTAACAATTCCTATAATTGTCTGACTGTATAATTGTCATTTCTGATGCTTTAATAATGCAAGATTAAAATGAAAATAAAACGCATACCGTACAGTTTATAATAGCTAGCACAGAGTTGGATAACTAATGCATAATGTCCTGCTAAATAAACTAATAAAACTAAATAAAAAGTTTACTAACAAGGCATTTCCATATTGACTGTTACTTGATGTATTGTGGTTTTGTCTGTTGATTATTCAAATTACACCGATTCATGGTGGCATTAATAGTGTTGACATAGAAATGCATAATTCTGAGTCAGAGTAGGCTACGTGAAAAGCTCTGACTAGAACTTTGGAGTCATCCATAACGCACCATAATAGTATTTAGTAAATTAGAGGATTCTGGGAAATGAAGTGTCCTTCTGTCATATTGAACAACAAACATATTTAATTAAAAATAAGTAAAAGCTTCTATAAGTGTTTATATATATATATATATATATATATATATATCACATTCTTTCTTCCTTTAGGCATTTGGACAGCAGCAGCAATGAGAGGCCAGATATCAGTGCCATCCAGAGAAGAATGAAGGTACATAGACTAAATCACACACTCACACAGGTATCAATAACTTTTAAAGAGTTTAAAGTTTAGAAATATTCTGGGTTATTTTGTTTTTATAAACAGCATCTGTGACGTGCTCTCAAGAAATATGTTTACAGTAAATAAGCTTGTAATGGTAGCTTATAAGTCTTGTAAGTTGAATTCCATGGTAATCAACAGCCTACCACATATGTTGTTCATAGACAGCATTAATAAGCTACAAGAGTGATGTTATATATATTCAATGTTACAGGGTTATTATTGTCAACTAAAAACAAAACTAACACCTTAAAAAGAAATAATTTGAAATAAAATAGACATTAACTTAATAACTTATTTTATTTCAGCTAGTTGTCAAGAACACATTTCTCATTTTCATTTAGTTTAAGTTGATGTACTAAAATAACTAAAACTAGGACTTAATACAAAACTTTATAGACTATATATGATACTAAAATAACACTGACATGCTCATTTAGTGATTTTCTCTGCGTCATCAGAAAGTGACTCATGACATGGACATGTGCTATGGGATGATGGGAAGTCTGTTCCGCAGTGGCTCTCGGCAGACTCTGTTTGCGTCTCAGGTGATGCGTTACGCTGACCTGTATGCTGCCTCATTCATCAACCTGCTGTACTACCCCTTCAGCTACCTGTTCAGAGCCGCTCACGTGCTGGTGAGGACACACACCCATAAACATAGGGCTGGATTATTGATACAAAAACCAGTGGACGTTCACAATAGCTGATACCAATTTCAATACCCCAGACAAAAATATTATAGAAACAATTAATTAAAAAAGGTAAAAATAATTGGGGGGAAGAAAATGTATGTAGCCTAAATGTTATATTTCTCAATTAATTAAACATGGCTGGATATTTTGATATTTTTAATACAATGAATTAATAAAAAAACATGGCCAGATATTTTGGCATTTTTTTATTACAGTGATTTTTATTTTGTTTTTATTCCTGTTTACATTCACCAGACCAACTGTGTTTTCGTTAATGTCTTTTGCCATTTTGACCATGAAAAGTGCATTTGAGGATTTTTTTTTTTGGAAATAAATGAATTCCTTTATTCAGCAAGGATGCATTAAACAGACTTTTACAGTACAAAGACTTTTACATTGTTACAATCATTTTCTGTTCTTTTGAACATTCTGTTAATTAAAAAAAATACAGTATACAGTTTCCACAAATAAATGAAGCAGCACAACTGTTTTCAACATTGATAGTAATAAGAAATGTTTCTTGAACAGCAAATCAGCATATTAGACTGATTTCTGAAGGATCGTGTGACACTGAAGACTAGTAATGATGCTGAAAATTTGACTTTGCGTCACAGGAATAAATTACATTTTTTTTATATATATATATATTCACATAGAAAACAGTTATTTAAAATTGTTATAATATTCCACAATATTACTGATTTTACTGTATTTTGATGACATAGATGCAGTCCTGGTGAGCATAAGATACTTCTTTTAAAAACAAAAACAAATAAATCTTACCGAACCCAATCACTAGGCATAATTGCAAGTGCCAAATCGAGTACTCTGTACTAACAATAGAAAAGCCTGAAATGGAAAGACTAGTATTGTTACATTTTTCTAAGTTGAGTACCAAAATACTGCCTACAGAACACACACCCACACTACTCCTGTTCACCTGGTTCTCTCTTCTTTGCCCAGTGCCCTATTTAAAGGGGTCATATGATGCGATTTCAAGTTTTCCTTTCTCTTTGGAGTGTTACAAGCTGTTCGTGAATAGATAAGATCCCTAAAGTTGCAAAGATTAAAGTCTCAAACCCAAAGAGATAATCTTTATAAAAGTTAAGACTCGTCCACGCCCTCCTAAAACGCCTCGTTCAAACATGCCCCCACATGTCTACCTCACTGTGTGGGAAGATTTGCATAACACCGCCCAAACGTTCACTCAAAGAAAGAAGGTATAACTTTGATTCTCGCTGTAGTATTGTTGCCGCCGCC